ACTTTTTTAAAAGAGAAAATTCTATAAAAAGGAATTTACCTAACGAATAAAAACTCCTCTTGCTTGCAAAATTGTGCTTCTTCGTTCTGCCAAACTCTTACTGTAAGTTCAAAGTATTAACACTTCAGGGTGAGTGCTGAATATCAATTTGTCTTTTTCCCACAGAAACCTGAAACTCAGTAAAATATAATAACCAATTTCAGTGCTGAAATTTTTACTCTATGGAAAGTCTGTAAAAAGAAAATCAAATCAAATCAATTTATATAGTGCGAATTCACAACAAATGTTGTCCCAAGACACTTAACAAAAAGAGCTGATTGAGACCGTACACCTCGATTATATTTACAAAGACTTAGTATTAAGATGGGATAAGATTGAGCACTTTGCAGCATTTATCAAGTTACAATGGAGAGGAAAAACTTCCCTTTAACAGGCAGAAACCTTGAGCAGAACCAGACGTGTTATCTGCTGAGACTGTGTTAGGGTTAGAGAGGATAGAGTGAGATGAGGAAAGAGAGAGAGAGGGATAGAGACAACAATAACAGCAACAACAACAATGGTTTGGTTACAGTGCAATAGATAATGGAACAACTATGAGTACTATCTACAGGAAAAGCATGTTGGTAAAAGGCTGATCTTAGTTTGATATATGGCGAATTAGGGTCATCAGGTCTGTAGTGATAGCATGGCAGTAAAAGCATTCGTAATAATAAAGTTGAGAAACAAAAAAGGGGGTTGCATTTTGAACAACTGAAACTGGAGGAGTCAAAGAGCTCTATAATCAACATGAACAAAAATAGAGAGACTAATGCTAATACATTAACAGCAGCTTTGTGACGGCGATAAAAATGATGAGAGTGATTCTAATTAATCAACATTAATTCTGTAATTGTGTTAATCATCAGAATCAGAATCAGGAAAACAGAGAGACTAAATGAAGCGGCTTGATAGCAGGGAGGTCCACAGCAGCAGGACGTCTACTGCAATAATTTAGAGGAACTTACAGGATGAGGGTGCTTAGGGACTCCCTGAAAAGACCGCGGTTAGTGACTTTAATGGGACATGATGATTCAAGGTTAATGACACACAGACAAAAAGAGGATAGAGAAGGGGAGAACAGTACTAAATGTGCCACTTGTGGAAAAAAAAACATTACTCACACTTAACTTCTGGTAAATCACTATTAACTGCAGTAATCAGGCAGATCCATCTCCACCTGTCAGAGAATGACTGGACCAATCAGTGTTTACAGGTGGGTTTAGTTTGGGAAAGCTTGTAGTATAATATCGTTTATATCCAAACTGGTGAATATGCTCTCAATATAGTAGTATATATAGTTGTATATTTCATTGCCTTTTGACTGAAATATAGCTGAAGCTAACTGCTAGCATCCAGTAGAGGAGAGTGGGGTAAGATGAGCCATTTTTCATATTTTGGATCACTACATCGAGGCAATCATAGTTTTGTCTCTAACTAGTGTATCTGCATATATTTCAGGACGTTGTGCATCCCTGCAAACCAACAGAATGAGTGTAAACATAACTGTCTTAACAATATAGCATGTAAAAAAAATGGTCCCCTATGGTCAACTTACCCTGTGTATGGGGTAAGTTGACCATAGGAGCGGGGTAAGATGAGCCGTATCCCTACTATCCCCCCAACTCTCCACCCCAGCCCTCCCTCACCTTCTCTCTCCCTAAATAACAGTCACTTCTTCACATTCATGTGGATTTTTCTCTATTATACGCTATTCAACTGGTACAATAACTCTTTTTATTATTATTGCATGTAACTGCGAAAAGTGGTTTTGTAAAAAAAAACATTTTAACATGAGAATGTTTTTAAGTGATTCAGAACATTCACTGCTGTATTTTTGAAAAGAAAAAGTAAAACATTTCAACAATCTGAACTGAAACTCTGATCCTCTCATCAGACTTTTTTAAGCCACTGAGTCAACTTACCCCAGAACAACTATTATATACTGTATATACTATGGATAACTTGGTTCCGCCTGCCGTCAGTACATGGATTTGAAGCCAGCATTGAAACCAGCATTGCGCAGTAGCATTGTGCGCATTCGGCAGGAGAGTCACCGAGAGTTGCTCGGCTCAAACAGCGTATCCCCCCAGGTGAGCTACGCAATCTTCGTACGCCTATAGGCTGTATCAAGTGTCAATCATAGAAAATATGAACCCCCTAATAACTTTAAAAATGGGGCTGCACAGGAAAAAAGAGGACTTGAGCACAAACCAGTCTTACAATAACTACATGTCAACATCACAAGCAGGGAGGAGAAACATTTATTTCCTGCGTAATAATTTTTTAAGTTTGTCTACAGCTCCATAAGCTTTGCTGGCCGAGGCTGGATTTATGAGCTATACTGCAGCCTGGCTTCACCCAGCGAGGAGGCAGACGGCGTCCATTCTGTATACAGTCTATGGTCTGAACACAATCCTAATAAAACTTCTGACAGACTAAATTCACTTTCAAGAGTGAAAAATGTTTTTTTTTTTGGAAATAAATGTCTAACCCTTCACTCATGTGCTTCTAACCTTCACAGACTCCACGAAATGTTGTCCATCTCCTAAATATTTGCTCACATGATCAATTTCTTTTACCATTTCCAAGCAACAGGGGGTGGCTCAACTTTCCCTTTGGCTCAACTTACCCCACTCTCCCCCACTCGTGCCTGTCGAGCTCATGTTCTGTAGTTTCTCTCTAAGCAGCAGCTCACATCCTCTTATTTTCCATCAGGTTTTTATTCTATCAACTTGTTTTGATAAATCATTTACAGTTTCCATACTTTACAGATCTTTTTGGCTGCAGTCAGAGAGGAAAGTCCCTCTGTTATTCGTGTTTACATTGTAATTGGATAAGCTTGCGTTAAGGAAAGCTCCTCTGTGGGAACAATGAAAGCTTTTAAAGAGAGGAGACAAAACTTGAGCAAATATTGTGCGAGTTCACCCTAAAGCCTCGACAGAACTCCCTTTAATGTCTTCCTCTCCTGTGAAAGCTTGAACTGCAGTAGCCCGGCGTGCAGCTGGAAGATGACAACATCAACTAAATGAACACACACTCAGATGAAGGAGAATTATTGTCGACTGCTCCTTGCCACAACCCTGTGCTTCTCCAGTTGAAGATTATAATTGTACATCTCATAAGCTGTCAGCACCATGTGCTTGCATGTAATTTCTTTGTCTCTTTTACTCCTCCTTCTCTACCTCTTCCGCTGTGTGCCCTTTCTCATCCCTCCCTTCTCTATGCAGTGTCAGTCACCACCCTGGGTAGTATGGTGGCACGTAAGGACTGATTCCCTCTGACAATGAGCCACTCACACTAATTTACTCATTTATCTTAATATGATTGACATTTCATTTTCAGTGCATTCCCCTCCCCTGCTGCTGATCAGGCCAGTCGAGGCAGCCAGTAATCACTGACAGGCCCATTAAAGGAAGATTGCATGCAATTATCTTGCTAATTCAGAGGGTTCTTTTAATTTGGCAGCATAAAATTGTCAATCTTGAATGTATAATCGGCCTCATTCCCATTTGAGGCCAGCACTGAAAATAAATAAAAGAGGGGTATGCTTCCGTTCTCTGTGCTCTAATGACAAAAGAGATGCAGATGTAGCGAATGAAAGGGATAGACACTCATCTGTTGTCCGTTCGCGCAGACAAGCATCGGAATTATAGATGGAGTGATAGATATTATGTGGTTTCACTGTTTGACAACTTTCACTGATGTGACACTGCTGAGTTAAAAGGTTTCAATGTCTCGTGTTGTATTCACCATCATAGACACATGCAGTAAGTGACTCTCTAAACATCTATATGTCATTGTCAAGTACATGATTAGTTCATAACCTACTAGGAATGCATATTGCCAAAAGTCTGTGAATTTGAATTTGATGCCTGTAATACGTTTTAGAAATTTGAGACAGGGAAAATAAAACACTGAAAATTGTGTTTTATGCTAAAAAGAAAAATCTAGAGGAACATCTCACAACTAATCAGGGTTAAACAGTAACTGGTTAGTAACATGACTTGGCATAACAAGGAGCATTTAGAGGCTGAGTCTTTTAGAGATACAGATGGGACGAGGCTCACTGTACTTTGTAATTGTAGTCAAATCAGTACATTCTGAAAAGTGATCCACTGCATTGAATTGGAAATTATTTAGGGGATTTCATAATTTATAAGAGCAGGACTCTGAAGTGGAAATCACCGCATGTGCAGTTTAGCACCGCATCCACAAATGTATAATCGCTCATAGCATGGGCAGTATGAAATTTGGAAAAACATGTTACCATCCAGACAATAAAATTTTCTAGGAAGACTAAAAATATTCCTGACAAACAAAATTTTGCCAAAGAATGAAGTGATGCAACACAGCAGTAAATGTACTGCTGTCCCAACTATATTTAAATGCATTGATATATCAGATGCTATGGAAGCCCTAAGTGGACATGGTTAATGGAATTTTTTTTACCCCCATTTTCAAAGCTCCATTTTCTTGAAATCACATGCCACAGTTTGTCTGCATGTACCAAGAAGTACCAGAGCAAACGCCTAATAGTTATGGCTATGAGTAATTTTGGGCTGATCTGTTCCTGTAAAGTTCAGAGAGTGTGCATCTTACCCTGTGCAATTCATACTGTAGCAGAAGGCAGACACCGCGGACACTGCACCACGCACAGTGATCAGCCCAATGTTTCTAATCTATGGCAAAAGAAAAGAAAACAGGGGTAAAAAAAATTAAATAAATCATGTCCACTTAGGGCTTCCGTAAAATTCAAATTATATAAACAATAACATTTTTCAGTTTCAATGATCTATATGTTGTCTTTCCATTATTTTTCACCAAATTCTGTATTAACCAATATTTTACACAGCATCCACACTCTGACGGCTTATTTATTTGATTTTGTTTAAATGGAATTTCAACTTTTCATCTTTATTCTTGGATCGCGACACAAAGAAAATCTCTCTTGTGTAATTTCCTTCCATTCCTCCTTGCACTAGTTTTCTTCTGCCACATATAATAACAGAAGACAGAGACAAAAAAAAAATGCAATACATGCAAATGAAAAAAAGAGGATGTGACAGCAAGAAATAAGTGGAAAATCTGTTCCAATATATGAAACGGTTGATAAACAACATTGAGGAAGGACTCTGCGGCATATGGGGATTCCTGTATGTAAAGTGTGTTACGCTCACAAAACAGGGAATTCAAATGTCTACAGTGTGTTGATGAAGGTGTGTATGTGCGCAACTGTGTAGAGACTACCCTCCTCATCAGTACATTCAATTTGCACATGTAGATAACACATGACATTTACATCTCTGTGCTGTCCCAATGCATTTCTCAGCCCTGCTTTGGAGAATTGAACAGCAATAGTTCATCTTATTCCACACTAACTCACTCACACACACACACCTCTTCCGTGACTGTTCTCAGGATTTCCAGATGAAGGAGTGATTGGTCATTTCCCCATAAGTGCGAGGGCCCCTTAACGCAACCCCATTCAGCAGCCATCAGCCAGGCCGGAGAAACCCTGAGTGGATGGGAACGGCTGCGAGAAGTGGACTCTACATGAATGAGAGAGCAAACCCTTGGCATTCAACACTCGGAAAATGGCTTTTCATGCCACACTCGGGGAGAAGCCAATTGGGCTGTGATGCGTGGCACGTCCCCTCTCTCCCCCTCACTGCAGGCGATTCAATTACCTCCCATGCAAATTGGCAGGGGGCTTTCATTTCTAGGAGGCAACCCTGGTAACTCATAAGGCATCTCATTGGTAATCTCAGCAATTAGGGAGCTAATGCATCTGTTTGTCATGGTTTGGAGGGAGTGAAAGACACTGGTGCAAATGAAAGTGTCCAATTCTGAGAGCGGGCGGAGAGAAAAATGAGGTCCAACATAAATGCAAACGCACTTATTTAAATTCCATAAAAAGCTGATGAGATGTTTTCAAAAATGTCTCACTCTGGAGTCAAAATCTTCAAAACTGAGGGGAGATTTTCGTGCAGTTTGCTGACTCCCAAATTCAAAGCAGGAGAATTTATACATTCTCAAGCGATAACACTAAGAATGAGTGATTACACAACAATCTAATGTGCTTGCTGTTCTCATGAATCTATTGTTCTGTGGGTGTTCACGTTTCAGCCAAGATTTTATTGTTTATCTAACCCTTCATGAATAAAACATCCCCAAGTCATTTAAACTGCATGCTGTTGCATTATATCAATCATTCACAAAGCCCTGCGCCTGTAATTTGATTCCCAGTGTAATATTCTGGGTAACAAAAGCAGACCGGGAAAAGTAGAAACTGTGGAGACGTGTGTTTTTGTTGCCTCTCTATATGATTTGTGGCTTATTCATCATCAATCTTGTGCATGCTGTTGGAAAAATAAACATTGTACATTGTTTGGGATGCATATTCAGAGTAGATTAAATTATTGCATTCCACATAATGCACACTTACATGGGAAGCTGGTGCAAGGAAAGCATTCACTATCACACAGGGCAGAGTGGTTTCTATTGTGGCCAGCAGAGGGGGACCATGCATTATGTAAAGAGTGGTATGTGAGTGGGAATGCAAGAACTCAGTGGGACAACCAATTGAAAATGTGCAGACCATGTATGTTCAGACCAAGCAGAAGGAAACAGCCAACTGTAACAGAACTTCACTGACATTTTTAACGGATTTAACCAGCTTTCTACACAGAACTTAAGCTGTAGGATGACTGAAACAGTCCAGGTCCGTTTGTACGGATGTTTTCCTTTCAGCCTTCCCCTCTAGTAAACACCAGAGGGGCATTTAGACAGAGATCACTGTGAGGATCAATGAAAACGTCACCAAACGTAGAAAGAGTGTCAGCAGCTGTGTCTGTTAAGAGCAGGAAAAGAGAGGCAGGAAAGTTAGAGACTTTTTCATAAGACTTCGAAACACAGAAAAGGAATATGACTCCTGCAGATGTTAGTGAAGTAGTTAGTTTCGGTCACTTTGTGAAACATTAAACATAAGCATATCACTTATATGTAAAGCTTATAGCAAACATTGAACTATAAACTTCAATCCCATCAAGTACATTATACATATACACTCTTTATACAAATATCAACACAAATTGACAAACTGAACAATAAAATTAAAACCACACAGTCCAACTTAAAAACGACAAACTGGGTAAAAAACAACAACAAAAAACACTCGGTAACACTGCCAGTGTCTTCTTTTGACAAAACATAAAATGTAACAGTCTGGAGTTCCCAGATTCACCAGCAGAGGGAGTACAGCTTGAAGGATAACTTGCCCTGCAGTTGAAACACAGATTTATTGATTCACAGTATTGCAGCTGAACATCTTGGTTCAAGCCCATTTTTTTAGAGTAGTATTCAGTGGAATTCAGCAGAATAGACTCAATAGAGATAATATATTGTATAAAAATGTATGAATACTTACGTATGGAGAGAGAGCGAGTGAGTAGGAGAGAGAAAGAGAGATACCCTTAAAGGATTTATAACAGCATTATTCACGACAATTAGAGACAGTTACACACTCATCATGGGAGCTTCCTCTCTTTGAAGAATACTGTTGCTTCACCAATGAGAGGCAGGACAGCATTTAATCATGACTGTGATTTAATATTTAGTGTTAGGTATCGCTAAATATCACCATTGTCACCTCTGTAACTTCAACTTTGCAGGTACATACTTTTGCAATCCCTACACTGTGTTTATTAGATGTGTCACGATTCAGGGTGAAACAAAAAGGGGAAGGACCCAAGTGCAGAATCAAAAATGATTGATTTAAAAATAAGGAAATAAAAAAGCAACAAAAACTTGCTTTGATGGCCAACAGAAAAAATCCAAAAGGCAAAAAACACAAAAGGCAAAACCCAAAAGAAAACAGGGTAAGACAAGGACTATATATACACAGGGAAACGAGCAACGAGAGGCAGGTGAGACGCGAAGACACAGGTGCAGACAATCACAGAGGAGGGAAAACTGAGGAAGTAAAACAAGACTAGAAACACAAGGAATAAGCTACTTCAAAATAAAACAGGAAACACTAAAAACTGATAATAGAGAATAAAACACTGAGAACCTGAGGGAACCGGGGTTAGACACAAACTGAAAACTCACAAGACAGGACTACAGGGTTACAACAGGAAACAGGAACACTAGGGAAAATCACAAAGAAAATACACTTGAGGGAAACACAAAACCAGGGAAAAACTACAAACCAGAACACATCATGACAAGATGTTTCATATACAAACATATAGCAGTTGTTAAATCGACAAAAATGTAATTTTTCTGACCCCCTGTCTCAATTATCTGGTCCAGCCATTTAAAAGAGTCAGGTCCGAATTAAGGGCAATGAGTTGCATTAAAAGCCCCTGGAACCTTAGAACCGCTAAGTAACATTTAAACCATGGCTCAGATGGAAAAACAACAAACTCAAGTCACTTTAAAACATCTCATGGCTCTCATGTTACTGCCTAACCTGGTTGAAAGATTGCCAAACTAAGCATAACTGTAGAAAAAGCAATGACAAGAGAGTGTGCCATATTGAATACACAATAAACAGCTATTTTATTGCCTGTGAAACAGCCATTTTTAGCAGAAGAGTTACTGAAGCTGACAAATAAAATCAAGTCAAAACCCTCACATATTTATCAAATACTTCCCAGCAAGTCTTGTATTTGTGGGCGACTGGGGAATAAATGGTAATGACTTAAATAGCTTCTTGATCATTGAAATTGTGTACAGATTTTTTAATGTATCACCTGAGAAAACACCCTCACTTTATATACACTATATACTAATCGTCAATGCCTTCTTTGTTTCAGGCTGTTGGAGATTTAGATAGGTTGAAGGTATAAAATACACACAAAGACACACCATGTATGCATGTAAACAAATATATGCTGCTAAAATATTACTATAAAAAATAATACAATAACTCTATTGATCCCTAAGGGGAAATTCAATCATCATACATCAATGAAAACTGAATGTCTGAAAACATATTGCTTCAAAATGTTTCCCCAATAATACATCCCAACACATAAATACAACACATTAAAAAAGCAATGTTATAGATGTAATAAAATGTAGGTGTATATCAGCTGTGGCATTTTAGGTATGTGTGTGTATCTGCGTGTATGTGTATGTGTGTGTGTGTCCTTCACATTGACTGGGAAAAACGATTACAGTGCAATATATCATCCCGGGAACATGCTACCTTTACTGTCACCTGGGATAAAACAATTTCCAAAGCAAATAAACCAGTGACCTGCTGTGGTGACGGGAGCAGAGACTGGGCCCTCAGCCCACTCCCAGCCTCTGTGGCTCCCCCTGCAACAAAAGAGCAGACGGTAATTCCAACCTGGCTCTTTTGTAAAGGTCCACATGGGGCCATGATTAAAACAGTTAAACTCACTGAGGGGGTCCCGTGGCCCTCCCCTTCCTCTGACAGCAGCTCTACCTGAAGCCTTCCCATGAAGGGCTGCAGGAAACCGAAGAGATAGGAGACATCGGCTCTAAATAGACCACCTTAATCCATCGATACCATAAAGTATCTCTCTTAATCTGACTTCTAACTTTTAAAACGTCTTCTCAGGAGTGTCCCCCTACTGTGGAGGTGTCAGTGGGATGCAGATATCCTATCAGGCATGTGTGTGAAACAACATGTTTTCCTGTTTGCACGCATCCACGCTGCTCCTGATAGGATTACTGACACACACTGAGGCTGTCAATCGTTCTCTCCGCATAGATTCACTCTGCATTTACTTCTTGTCACCTCAGAGGTTCAAAGTGAAACAGTGAAGACCCGTGATGACGCACAGTGTGAGAGTGTGAGAGTGTGTGTATCCTCCCGAACCCGGTTTCCAAAGTGTTGATTCCAGGCCTTCCTCTGCTCTGGCTTGTCTCTGCAGGAGTGCATGGATCTAAACCTGAGCCTGAATTAATGTGTATTTATGAGGGCCTGGGTTAATACATCTGATTTTCTAACATATTTTTTTTGTTATTCTTGCTCTTACACTTACCTGTTGTAGTCTAGATTATGTACTTTTTATCTGCGCTGAGTTATAACGTAGTGACTGCTAGTGTCGCCACAAGAACCATTAATGTTTCCTTGTATTTCTCTGGTGATAAATAATGGAAATAAGTTTAAAAATTTTAATAGATTATCTCTTTTATGGACTTTTTAAGTTTTCAGCGACCTGTCTACATTTGTAGTTCTCTTAACGTACAGTAGTTCATTTAACTTATTTTCTTTTTACTTTTTATTTCTCAATGTCTTACATTTCAAGATCTATAAAACCCGAATTCCAGCTCTTACTTGTTTTTTTTAGCTCCAGAACTTGTTATTTAAGCACAGTAATAGGAATATCCAGCAGTAGACAGGGTCTTGAGAGAACGGGGGTGTTTGTGATTAATGTTTCCTTTCACTGTACTGTATTAATCTGTATAAAACAAATAAATATATTGCTGACAAAAAAAATGCAATAAATACACTCCATAGAAACACAGACTGCTGCTGGTTCAGTTCTACTGTCATGTCATGCTTTCTAAAAACATCTAAAAGCCCCATCTAAAAAAAAAGATATCACATTTTTATCAAACTTCATGCAAAGAAAAATCTTGAGACAGGAAAATAATCAAACCATGAAAGAGTTATGCATCACCATAAAAATACAAAGATGAAGATCTTCCAACTAAAATCAATTAGCAACAGGTAAGTAATGTGATTGGGAATTAAAAGAGCATACCAAGAGGCTGAGTCTTGTAGATATAAAGATTGAAAGATATTCACCACTGTGTGAGAATGACTCTGACCAACTAGGTCAACAACTGGTTATGAGAGCACCAATCAAATACCAGCATCCTTAAAGGTTTGGAGATGTATTAGATCTGAGAAGGCAAACTCAATGGTTCACAATATGAAAGGTTTTGGAGCAACGTCTGCTGCCACTCAGGTAATGCCTCACATATTTCAGAAGACAATGCCAAACCACATCCTGCACTCATTAAAACAGCATGGTTCTGTAGTGGAAGAGTCAAGGTGTTTAACTGAACCAGCCCGTTCAAGTTCCCAAACTAATCACCAACTGTAAACATCTGGTACATCATGAAAAATGTGACAAAGGAGACTCTGAAACATCAAGCAGCTTATTCTTAATATCAGGCAAGATTGGGAAAACATTTCACTTTCAAAACTCCAGAAACTGGTCTCCTCAGCTCGCAAAAGTTTAAAGAGTGTTGTAAAGAGAGGAGGTAATGGTAAACATGGTCATGTCTGACTCGTGTTGAAACATGTTTGCATCAAATTCAAAATGAGACTTTATTTTATTGTCTTTGCAGGTTTTATACCAAGATATCTCAACGCTTTTCTATATCGTTACATTTATTCTAAGATTGGGGTTATAAATGACAACTTAGCGCTAAAGACATCAGGAATATTTGTTAATATTCAATAACTGTGCTTAAATTATGATGGTCTTTTCTTTTTTGGCGAGATTCTTCAGGTAACCACTGTGACAGAGATTCTCTCTACTGATGTCTTATGATGCATTTGAGTTACCGCGGAAGTCAGAAGTCCGAGCTGGGGATGACGTCACACCCGAGTTACCAGGGTTTCGGTTAACAAGTCGGAAAAAAAGCAAAATGATGGCAACATCTACGAAAGTTACTAAAATAACTTTCGGAAAAAAGATGGCTACATCTATCGAAAGTTATTTTAGCACTTGCCTTGTCCGAATGTAGACAAGGACAAGGCAAGCGCTAAAATAACTTGCATAGATATAGCCATTTTTTTCCACTTCTGATTTTGTATTTTTCCAACTTAGTAACTGAAATGCTTGTAACTCGGATGTGACGTCGTTCCCAACCCTGACATCTGACTCCCTAGGTAACTCGAACGAAGTATTAGACTGGATAAGGTCAAAGGTCAAGTGATCCTCAGGGTACTGCTCTGATGTTTTTGGACCTTTCGAGTTCTTGGGGAAAGTACCTAGACACTGAATATATTATATGTGATATGATGACACTCTTTTCTAACTTTAAGATGTATTTAAAAGTAAGAAAAAGGAGATCGCACTTAGAAAGAAAATGGTGTCAGCGCTCATTGATAGCCTACAATGTGTGCTTGTGAATTTTAAGTGTTATAGATTTTCCCAGTTTGTTTAAAAAAGAACAGATAAATTGAGAGAAGGATTGAGAAGGAGAAGAAGGAAGGGGGTAAAAAAAAAAGGAGACACTCCAAGATGAAGGGACAGCAGAAGAAAAGGGGCAATTACTGTTCCTTTCTTATGGAAATGGTAATGAAGTGGGACATGGGGCTCAGGACAATAGAGGGCCACAGGCAGGTTGAGCGTCACCGTGTAAACTGCTTCCTGTTAGGGAGCCATTTAGCCCTCACTTTTACTGACTAACAAGCCATCTCCAGGCCAACTACAAAGAGGCTTCCCCATCAAAGCTGGAGCTGCTGCTGTCTGTGGAGTCCAGATAGGCTTTTCCCAGGCCAGCTCTCATCTCACAGTACAGCACAGGCCTTAAGGGGACTGCCTTAAAATGTGTATGTGTGTGAATACGTGTGTGAGTGTTTTCATCTGTTTGTGGGGATGAGTGATGATGTCTGCCTGTGCGTCATATCTTCTGATTGATGCAGAAATGCTCGTGCAAGGAGTCCCAAGAGTTTCCCTGGGTGACAGTTGGACTCACACGCTAAATACAAAGTTTACAGCAGAGACGTAGCTGGTGTGAGGACAGAGGCTGATATGGATTAACTCAGTCTCAGCTGCCGAGTTATTCATCTTATCAGTATAACAGTGAATGCTCAGGCAAGCTTTCTTCATTTTTGTTTCTCTCTTGATTCA